TGAAACGGCATGATCCCAACATCGGCACAGACCTGGAGCATGCGGTCAAGGCGGCCCTTGGCGAGGCCTGTGCAAAGCAAAACATCCTAGGAGTGAGCAGGCAGTAGGTAGGTGTGGGTGTGTCTGTCTCTCTATCTGTCCGTCTACCTGTCCTTCCAAATGTCTACTACAATACATTATGTATACAGCCTCAGAAAGTGTGCAGGAGATGCCTGCGATCCTGCAAGTTCCCAGGGAGGCCGAAGCGGCGAGCGTGCACGGCCAAACCGTTATCTTAAAGCATCGAGGTCGATATTTCCGGGTGCTTTCGACCCATGAACCAGGCTGGCATGGGAGCTCCATAAGTGGATAAATACATGATTATCTAAATATAAATGAATACATTGTTTATATATATATATACCTACATGACGTAAGTGTCTAGGTGCCTATATGCACTTACGCATGTATACATAATGTACGTAGGAGTACATTGCAGTTCATGCATGGTAAGCATGCGCACACTTGTATGTGTATGTCTATACAAGGACCTGTGCATGACCGCATGCTTTTTTGTCTAGCACACAGTTCGCGGTACTTGTAGAGATCATGCGGACGTGGTGCATTGATATGATGTTGGTATATGTATATGCACAAGTATTATATTTGCCGAAGCAGATCTGAGCGCACACTCGGACTTATACCCCTCTTTTCTCACCAGGCAACGAAACACATGTGACAAAGCTTCCTGAGCTGTACAGCCTAGACTCAGAATGAGAAGCTAAGTGCATTATGTTCGTACACTTCTCGATTTGTGCCTTGACGGCTTGAAAGAAAGAAAAGGTCTGGGTCCCTGGGCCTAACAAACCCACACCAACCCACGAGGTTTCCAGCCAACATGGCTCCAGCCTTGCCACACATTTGACAACTGCACATGCCGGCTGCACCGCAAACACTCCCCCAAATGGAGGCTCCCTCCATTTCTCCTGAGGTTCCTTATCGTCCCTCGGAAGCATACAGCCTCCTTCTCGAATCAAGAATCACCCCATTTGCAGCACCTGCACAGCCTACGTGCTTCGATCTCTTCAGTATGATCGAGGGAGCTACAACTCTCTGACATATGAATACACTTGCCAGAACGCGTAAAATAGGCAACATCCCCCGTGCGACGAAAGGGCAAACTGCCTCCATTGCTACAGTGAGGGCAAACGTTTCTCACAATAGGCGCACTAGCAAATTGCATTGGCCGTGACGTGAGTGTGCTGTGAATGCAGTCCCCATTCTTAGTGAGATACACTAGAGTACGTTGATCTTGGGGTGGACAACTCATGATAACATCTTTCTTGACATTGTAAGGACGCTTCATTCGATCTACCTTCACCAGATCCCTGCCTAGAGTCACCTGTTGACGCTCTTCCGTTCTTACTGCCTCTGTCGACTGGGTCGAGCCCTGTGCCAGATCCCTGTTATGAAACCTACTGGGACCCAAAACCCTAGTCAGACCCGCCAGAGGGTCAACACTTCCACCTTCCGATAAGTCATTGACTTCACCTTGGGCCTTTAGGAAATGGCTTGAGCGCCTGCTCATCCTTGTGGACGTCCCTTGCGGGGCCTGATCCTCTTGGGGTCGGCTAGGGCCTAAACCAGTAGGGGGGCCTACTGAGTCCTCTGGCAATCTTGTACTGACCGCATCACAGCTCTGGCCTAAACCATCACGGGGGCCTACTGAGTCCTTTGGCAATCTCACGCGTACTGCATCCTGGCTCAGGCCTAAACCCTTAAAAGGGCCTACTGAGTCCTTTGGCAATCTCACGTGTACTGCATCACGGCTCGGGCCTAAACCTTTAGGGGGGCCTACTGGGTCCTTTGGCAACTGAGCACCAATCCCCGGGGAACTGGAGTCTAAACCAGTAGGTACATCGGCCGGGTCATCGAATGACTTGCTCGACTGTTTTCTAAGGGTCGGGACTAAACCCCTAGAGGTCTCTACGTCCCTCGGAGCTACGACCCTTCTAACTTTGGTTTTCTCCTTCAACCTAATTGACGGGGCATCAAGATCAATCGGCTGACCTGTCACTTCAAACTTGACCTCCGTATCTATAGCAGGGAAGACCTTACTAGTCGTAAACATCAGCCCATCTTCTGTCTTGACTACCCAACCCCTAGCACTACTCGCCGATGGGCATTTTGTGTACGCAGTTGTAGTCCTAGACTCCCATACCCCCCTGCGCCACGATCTCTGCAACACCTGAACCTTAGTATTGAAGGGCAGCGATGGCTCAGCGGCAACCTTGAGTCTAGCTCGTGCTACACCTCTCAACTGATGAGCTGCCAGTTTGGCTGCCAACGGCCATTCCTGGAGGTCACTTTCTCCTGCCGCCTGCATGATAGCTCTTGTTTTGCTTTTGAGACGCAGTATGGCACCTTCGGCTCTCCCATTAGTCTGGTGTTCCTCTGCTAGAGCGAATGTTTGATGCAATCCAAACTTACTGCAGAATGCTTTCAGAGCGGCATTATTGAACTCTCGCCCTCGGTCCGTATGGATCCGCCTTACATCATATCCATCGCTGATGGCCTGGGCGTACATCCGACTTACAACTGCCGTAACTTCTTGCTGCTTCTTGGTTTCCACTGCCTCTGTAAAAAGGATGTCTACCATTTCAACCTTTGGAAGATACTCGGCCTTAGCCTCTCGCAGCCAATCCTCCCGACTGGCCTTCTCCCAACTGTTCCATGATTCCTTGGCCTCCTTCAGCTCCCTCTGTGAAGGCTCCGGCAATGGTTCTTCAAGCTCCATCCCTTTGCTCACGAACCACTCCCGATCCTCCAGACCTTTGGCGAAACCTTCCACCGTGATCAAGGGGTCTCTATCAGCCGGCTCATCAACTGCACTTCCCTCCGCAGACAGAATTGGCACTGACAATACGCTCAGAGTCCATCCCTGTGGCGCCAGGACTTTTCGATGTTGCATTTGACGAGCTCCTCCCTGAACACAGTACTTGCAATCACGCCGATATGGTGTGTGGTTGTTCCTCAAATGCTCCAGGAAGCCTGCATCTACTGATCTCACCTTGAAATCGTGCCCTGCAGCATGCTCTCGGAAGGCTCTCCATAACATGTCCCCAATGGTGCACTGCAAGCCTGGGGCCCAACCTGCCCAGTTTTGCTGGCAACTCACGTTCGCCCTTGAACCCTCATCTGTCCCTGTATCTTCGGTCCAGCAGTCCAAAAGCACCGGGTCCGGGGATAGATTGATACACAGAGTAGTGGGTCTCCTCTTGCAGTGACCTAGCGCGCCCTGATGAAAGGATACCCTCTGCAAATCCGCAAACTTCTCAAGCTCTTTCCACTCAGGAACCGCCCATATAGACGGTGGACTCAGGCTCTCGGTGGGATATCCATCTCTGACGTCCTCCTGGGGATCCTCTGGATTCTCCAACACTACAGAAGGCACTTCCTGATGCATCGCTCGGCTAGACGCCGTGGCAACTACTGTGAGGACCACGATCCGAAGAATAAGCAAGTCATCCATTCGGCGCTGAGCTTGCTCTCTGCAATTCAACTCTTGGATCCCATAATCACCTAAGCTTTCGCCCCGTACTCTGAGTGGGCGATGGAATTTCTCTCCCCCTTCCTTAAGGTATCGGGTCCATGCAAAGGTCCGGTAAGGCATTGCTCCCACGATGCCCTTCACCCTTCCCCTGGAGGCTTGCTGCAGCAAGTAGCGGAACGTACTGTCTGATAGTAAGTTCTCTGGTCTTTCCACAGTCAATAGTGCAAGTTTGCTCCTATCCGCCAGGCCCTCGTAAGCCCTTTTACACCCCGAACTAAAGAGATGCACCAGGATCCCGCCTGCCTGTTCACAACGGCGCCTCATACGCCTATTCCAAGCAAAAGGCTCCCCATCTTGGTCTTGCAAGGACACTAATGCCTGAGACAACAGTTCCCGATCGATGCAAGGGAAGATCCTCGTCACGAGCATTTGCATCGCCGCATCCGCATGTGTATCACGCTGCACTACGAGGCTCGCAAGATCCCCCAGGCTCAAAGTCTCCAGATCCTTCATAATGCAATGCAGCCTTGCACTACGATGCTCGTTGCGCTCAACTAGAGACTCATACTCCTTGATGAGGGCCAAAGCTTCACCTTCAGACACCTCTGGGCAACCAGAACTCGAGTCAAGATCCAGTTCTCCTCGACTCGGGTGCCAGATTCTACACTTCAGGGAATCCCATTCAATCTTAAACCCAAGTGACAACAGAGCCCTGACTGACAAGATCGGCGAAACATGTGTCTTGCTGAGCAGCGTGCCTTGGGGGTTAACCAATAGCTGACACTCACCGAAAGCAAGCTTCACGCCCACGACTGGCATGTCTTGTTCATGGGCTTCCGCTGTCCTAAGGCACGACGTGGCTCCCCCGTCGATGAGCCCACGAGGCTCACCACGGTGTGCCCTGCACAACAGCTCCGTTGCCGTTCGGACGTACGGCTTCAAGGCCGCTAGGCGCATGCTCTGTAAAAGCTGCGCCGCTTCTTTGATGGCATCTTGGCTCAAACCTGACGTCTGCGGCGCCGCGGCTTTGGCCGCTGCACCTCCTTTACCCTTCCCCCCGGGCCTGTGTCCGTGGCTCCAGATTTCCCCTTTCCTTTCGTACTGGTGTCCACCGGCTGGGTTTTCTGGTGTTTGCCACCTCCGGGGGCGACGCAATCCGCTTTTTGGTGAGCCCCTCCACACGACCAACATTTACCTGGCCTCTCAACCGTGTGGGCAAACGTGCACGTCTTCCCAAATCTACACCCCTTATCGGTCACCCATCCTGTACAAGGCTTTTTGGCCGTAGCAGTTGGCTTCCCTTCGGCGGTCGGAGCCGGTGATGGATCGGCTTTTCCACCTCCAGCCTTACCCCCTGTCTTCCCTTTACCCGAACCATCAACCCCAACTGATGCAACCCGTTGCCTCTTAGGGACACTATCCGGCATAGCCACCGACAGTAATTCCAACTCCGACAACACTGTCCTGGCGAACTCTTCTATGGTGTCCAACTGGGGCCTGGTGTCGAGTTGGAGCTGCATGCGCACCGAATGCATTCTGAAGTTCATCGAAGGGTTTCCCTGAAGAATCCCCGCCAACGCCTTGTCAAGGCTATCCAGCAGAAGAGATGAATCTGGAACTGAAATCCCCATAGACTTCGCCCGTTCAAGATGCCGGAACCACTTCTGCATACCCCCCACCCCAGCAGTCGCCGACTCAAACGTCGCCAAGCTTGTCAAACCACGGAGCAACTCAGCACGCTCATTCAATCCACCGGGTTGGAAGGTGCGCAATGTAAGGAATATCAAGCCAACACAGGTCACATTGCGATTCGCAAGGGCTTGCTCGTACACAACACTAGGCAGAGCCTTTGACAACATGGCAACCCCTCTCGACTCAATCCTAACAAACGGCTCCTGAAGCATGCTACCAGTAGGCTTCCCAAGGATCTTAGCTCTATCTAGGGGTTTTGCTTTACTCCATCTATCGTACTCTAGCCGGGCTTGGGTGAGGATCTCCTGCCACCAAACGTGTGCACGCGGTGCCAAGTCTGACATGAGGGCATCATGAGGGGTGTCACTTTGTATATCCAGTCGTTACACCTCATTGCCGGATTAGGCTCTGCACCTGGCGATGCTAACACTGGCAAATCCCAATATGTGCGTTCCCCAGGAGTAAAGTCTTTCACCCCCGAATCCCTACATCTCACCCCTTCAGGCTTACCGCTCTCATCTACAAAGTTACCCGCTACATGGCCTGTCTGCAGCACAGGTGACTCTGGCGGCGGGCCCGCCGGCAGGCGAGTTCCGCCTGGCGTTGCCGGCGATGCATTAACCTGATAAGAGACTGGCCCTCGATGCCTTGGAGGGAATGGAATGGGTGATCTTGACTGCCTCCTAGAATACCCGGCCCTAGACCCACTTGGTGACCTACTGGCAACCCTTACCCCTGCAGGCACTGGAGGTGGGGGCGGAGGAACAAACTCATTATTTTCAGTCTGGGATTGCGAAGCAATAAAGGGCGTGGAGGCTGTTGCACTAAACGGGTTCCTTATTCCTGGTCCTGCACAACTTTCTGGCTGGGTCGCAGGTGCCGTTAGGGGTCGGTGGTTTGGGCCTTCACAACCCTCCCCACCCTGCATATCAAAGTACTTTGGAGACTCCGAATTGATAACTACAGCTCCATTGTCTGCAACAGTACCTGTCCTAGGGACACCATTAATCATCACCGTAACCGTGCCACCCACCCCACTATACCCAACAACCCCCAATCCCTTCTCTATAGTATCCGGGGCCCGTGCCGAGGAGAGGGTCTTATCATCTTGGGCATAGGGTGCTCCAGGGATCGGTTCCGGGTGGCTCCTGGACTCAGAAACCTGCATCCTCCTCGCTGCCGCAAGAGCTACTGACCTATCATCCCTAAGCTGACACGCCGAACTAGCCTCCGGTTCAGTCTTAGCCGAGGTCTGGCCAATGACTTGCACAGCCGGGGTGTCTTGCAACGTCAAGCTCTGAAGGGCTCTGGTAGCTGCCAAGAGCTGGTCCCCCGGGCCACGGGACGGCAATGCTGCAACGCTACTGTGTTCCCCGCTTGCAAAGCTGGTCCATGGAGGCTGAAAAGTCCTAACCGCTGGCAACCACTCCTCTTCCTTAGGACCACCAACACCCTTACCACTCTTAGACTTCAGAGTCCCAGACCTTCTGTGTCCTCTACCCTCGTCTACAGCTACGCGTTCCCACTGTACAGGATCAAACCTATCCCTACCGGACTCACCAGACGTCCTAGAGCGGCCTGCGGCCACTTCATTTCTCAATTGCTCATTCTGCTCCATTAACTGTTGGACCAACGCTTCCAGAACATCAGTGCGCGCTGACTCAGATGCAGCTTGCCTCGCTCTCCCGCCATGGGCACCAGCATCATCATCTTCCCACCAGTTCATAACAGCGTCTTGCCCAACCGGTCGAGAATGACCACCAACACCATTCACGCGGCTAGGTCCTAGCCAGGTATGTCGCCCTTCTCCAGGGTACTGAGTTCGCTGTGGCACACCACCCGTCCCACCAGTGCCTCTTACTGGATCGGCCTCCTGAAGATTCAAATTCCGCACATTGGCCAAACCAGTAGTCTCATTTCCCCCGGGTGCAGCCCCATCCAGCGCGGCCAAATGACTCCGATCAGCCAGAGCTGTACCGTCGCCCTGGTCTGGAGAACCATTGCCTCCCTCCACTGATGCAAAGTCATACTCAGGCTCCGCTCCTTCAGCAACTTCCGCATAGGCCAACAAATCAGCCGCCTGTTGTTCGGGAGTCAGCTCTCCACTCCTTTGAATTCCGCGCCGCCGCGACGTATCATCATCGGACCAGCGCTCTCCGGAAAACGGGTTGTTGTCCTCGTTGATCCCCATGGTAACACCTCCCTGAAGACCATCTCGAGGCAACCCTGTCTGCTCGTATCCCGGCTCATCACCAGAGCCAACTGCAGACTCCATTGCGAAGCACTACAGGGAGCCGGGTTGGGCTCATAACCTGCCGAAGCAGATCTGAGCGCACACTCGGACTTATACCCCTCTTTTCTCACCGGGCAACGAAACACATGTGACAAAGCTTCCTGAGCTGTACAGCCTAGACTCAGAATGAGAAGCTAAGTGCATTATGTTCGTACACTTCTCGATTTGTGCCTTGACGGCTTGAAAGAAAGAAAAGGTCTGGGTCCCTGGGCCTAACAAACCCACACCAACCCACGAGGTTTCCAGCCAACATGGCTCCAGCCTTGCCACACATTTGACAACTGCACATGCCGGCTGCACCGCAAACAATATTGTTTGGCTGCAAACCGTTGCCCCAGGCGACTCTCAGCCGGACTCGCGTCTCAACACCGTTGCCTTGCTGATCCAGAGCTCCTGGCGCCGCTCATCGCGGCGACGGGAGTGTAAAGCTTGCGCCAGAGATTTTGAGCAGCACTCCGACATCCTACCAGCTTTTGAAGAGGCCTGCTAGGGACAGGAAGTGGCTCACCAGGAAGTTGCAAGACAAGCAACAAACATTCGGCGGGTACGACAGCTGCGATATAGTTAGTTAGCCCTGCTTCCATTGTGGATCAGGCCACTCCTGGTGGCAAGGCAGACGGGGCCCGAGCGCGGGTGGAAGGGGGAAGCGGAACAAGCGCGGTTCTGCCGCCTGCTCGCCTGAACGAGAGCTGCTGCTCGCCAACGACCGACGGCATTGACGCGCTCCCGGCTCAACACGCTGGAAGTGGGCCTCCTGAGCATCCATCTGAGGAACATCACCCCGGCCGGTACGACGCAGAATCGAAGCCTGAATGCACAGTAGCTGATCATGCGCCTGGTTTCAGGGCGCAGGTCATCGACATGACCTCAGCCTCCTCAAAGTTGGACCTTCAGACAGATGCCGACGAAGCAGGCAGCTGCGCTCCGAGCCTGCCCAGCATGATTTCCGAGTGGCAGGTCATTGATGATCGGCAACGGCTGGAGCGTTTCCTGCTACCCGCGGAAGATGTTGGGGCCTTTGGATACAAAGTGCTCCCGGATTGGTCAGATCCAGATGGCAAGTGTTCAACCAGCTTTGAGAAAACTGTGCAGCAGTGGCTCTCGGAGAGGCTGAAGGACAAGCTGCGCAAAGATGCTTGGACCATCTCTAGACAGTAGCTTTTGCCAATTTGTGCTTTCGTCCCCAACAGCCACATGCAGTTTCGTTTATGACCCTTCGGTTTCAGCTGAGGACTGCCAGAGGATAGCCATATCCATCAAGGCACACCAACCCCCCTTTCCATGCTGCAGATGCAGTTGGCATGCCGCAGTTTTCCGCTCCATGCTAGCCCAAGTGTTTCGAATCCTGGCAGGACAAGCACGGCCAGGTAGCACCTTCCAAGTTGACGGACGGTGAGCTGTTTGTGCTGGTGGCGTATGCCCTTGACGTGCGGAAGAAACATTCAGGTCTCTCCTGGGACATGAACTTTTCTTCAAGACTGTCGAGGGTGGTGCGACGCCAGCCGGATAGCATCGACAAAGAGATGTCCACGTGCCTTCGTTTCTTCAACGATGCCTTGGACAAGTGCTTAACGCTGCAACCCCAAACACTTTACTGATCCTCGTCAGCAGATCGCATTGTGCCAATGCGCGATCAGGGCCGGGATTCCAAGCAACTACGCGTTGTTAAGTGACGTGCTGCGGTGGCCTGACACCAGAAACCCTACATCTGCTGCAGCAGCAGAATCTGCAACAGGGAGATGTGGCGCGGTGCTCGGAATGCGGTCCTTTCAACTCATGGTGCCTTAGTCGCCCAACCCTTCCGGTGGCACTGTGAGGAGTGCGTTGGGTGTTCTGCAAGTAGGACAGGCTGGCGCATGAGCAGGGGAATGGACAATACATTGCATGGTGAAGTGCAAGCAGTAATCATGTTTGTTTTCATCGCGGTAGCATATTCACAGTGCTTCGCTTCCCGCATGCATCGCTAACACATATGATCATGCTTATCAAATTCCAAAGGTATAGTTCAATGAAGCCGACAAAACGGATATGTCCAATGATGTTCATACCCACGTCTCGAATGTCATGCTACAAAACTAAACTTTCCGAAGCACTGCTGTAGCAAACCACAGTTCCAAATATGTTGTATGTGCAATCATTCCATCTAACATACATTGAGGGTAACATTGGCAGCATGTCCGTTCCAACACCAATGTAAATTAGCCCCTATAAGTTATCTATATTAGATATTCGGGCTAAAGACACAAAAGGAAACCTGAAGCTATGCGTGCATATGCTTCGCACTACATACAGGGAGCCAGTTGGAAATATGGAAACAGGGTTGGGGAATACATGTATGACTTACACTGTGTAGATGCTGCGGTATACATCCTTCCATGTGTGCTTAATATAGGGAGCAGGACTTCTACAGCGTGTTGGCACGTAACGAGCTCGCAGTCCGTCTGTCTTAGAAGAGGTTTGGTTATGGTTAGCCCAAGTTGCTTCTCAAAATTCACACTGGCCGCTGGTGATATTGTCCTAGTCATATAGTCATACAAGGAAGACAATGAAAGCACAATACTTTTTGTAGCATATCTGAGAATGAGAGATTTTTCTCGGAGAACCTATGCCTGAACTGAACAAGTTTTGAAGGTAGTTCCTGGCCACGGTCTCTCTCTCTCTCTCTCTCTCTCCTACAGTATCGGAAACACGAATCTCACCATATAAGTCGAATACATGTAGATACAGATTTTGGTTCAGGAAATGCCAAAATGGCTTTAGACAGGAATCAGCAAAGTCAAACCTCTGGGCTCCAAAGGATCCCATTAAGGGTATATTGGATTTCCAAGCATATGCTGCGGCTTTGTAGGGCCATCTAACAAACATTATCTTGAATGTCTTTACGAAGGAGTCTTTCTTGTTTACTGTTCAAGCTGAAGGGGGCCTCATCCAAGACAAGGGGCGTACAGATTTGTATGCATTACACACTTTTGTAGAGCGGTCAGTAGGAATTCAGGCTCAAGGGGTCTTCAAGACAAAAACACCTTGATGTCAGAGAGTGTGTACATCGGAGGGGCGGAGCTTGCGCGTATGTCCTCCAAACCAATGGACATAAACAAGATGTCATATCTAGGATCCGCTACACCCATGTGACAAGGTCATAGGTAGCGACTGGGACATGGCCACGCACGAGGTTATGTGTCAGGAGACTATCCGCAGTAGTCCTGTACAGAAGGTGTTTCAGTAAATGCAGGGCTCGTCAGAATAAGTCTCTATGAGAACCCCAAAGTTCTCTGGAATGTTTGTCGACGCACACAGTGGAGGTTGAGAATAGGATCCATGCTGGAGTTTAAAGGAATCATATAATGCAGGGCCTTTATGAGGAAAACGATACGCCAGAAAGGCACTTCCTTCATGAAATCAGGAGTCGGAAGATATCATCGTCCCCTTGTGTTGACAGGATGCATTTGAGCCACAAGCTGTCAAGTAGAAGCTATGCAGACATGCGTAGGGTAATGTAGCTTCTATGATAGGCATGTGCCCCCACAACATTCAGGTTCCAAGTTAAGATGCCAAGTCGGCCCTGAACAGGAATACCAAACGCTGCAAGTGTGGTTCGTCCAGACTGTAGGATTGATTTGCATACGACTTACGTACATGCTGAGCTCTAGTCTATCATGTGTGCCGGTATGCTGAGACCATATCTTCGGGATTCAGCGTCCATGCTCAAGTTTTTGTGGCAGGGAGACATATGTTCCTTGATCATCATTTGGTATCAACATGGTGAAATCTACTCATGCTTTCGAACGCATGTTGCAAAAATGCAAGGAAGAAGATCTAGTAGATGGAATGACGGAAATCGGTTCAATGCGATGTGGAGCTCAGTGAATGTGCAAGTGTTTCACCACCCGTCTATTTCAATGGTGATTTTTGCTAAATATGGGTGCCCCAGGGCGTTTCCACCCTCCAGAAAGCCCGGAATCCACCCAGCCGGATGCCTCGAGGACCACTTTACAACCATATTGCCGCATGCTTTTCAAGCAGTCTTGCATTCTGTTGGCCCGTGAAGCCGTACTCAGGTCTACCTGCCAACTTTTAGCAGCTGGACTCCGAGCGCGGAGATCGCCTCCCGGGCGGCCGGCGCCGACGGAGGCCTGGTGCGGGTCACGGCCAAGGCGAGCGACCTCTCTGAGCCATGGCATCAGCTAAAAACTAAGACTCGAGAAGGCAACCAAAGGGCCGCACCAACAGCTGTCCTTCGCAGGTATTGTATGAATTCAGAATTTTGCATGAAGGATGTCATCAGATATTGCAAGAGTGATTGTGGACCGCTTGTGCGCAAACGTACAGACGTGTGCAGTAGCCACCATGTACTCTATCTGTGTACCTTCGCGTGATGTCGTGTTGACAACCATATGGACATTGAACTTACTCATCTTCCACTCCCACCCGTCCTGCTTCTACTCCTCCAGCGCTGGTCTACTGCTGCTGATCCTGTCCCTTGCCCCTCCTCCTACTACTACTTCTGCTACTTGTACTACTGTTACTCCTGCGACGCCAACTGAATTAACTTCCAACTGCTGCTGCTGCTACTATACCACTACGACGACTCTTACTGCTACTACAACTACTACTACCACTACTACTAACTACT